GAAGGAAAGAAGGAAGGAAAGAAGGAAGGAGAGAACCTTAGGTTCTGTAATTGCACCTAACAAAATGAAGCTGGAATGAGGAAGGGAGTCAAAATAGGACGGTATGAGTTTAGCACTGTGCCAAAGCATTCTACTCATATCTGGACCTCAACCACCAGCAGATAAAATCAGGCAGCCAATAGCATTGTGTAACTGAATAGATGAAGCTTGGCCAAGTAAAGAAGAGTGTTAAAGCAGAAGGTTTGCAAAGAAATCAAAATAAGGTACGCTCCCAGATTCTCCTTGGAAGGCATCTGAAGAGAAGGCTGGCGGGGTGGGCGGGTTTGCTATGGCAAGGGGGCGTTACTGAAGAAATTGATGAAAGAGGAACATCCTGTTTATTGTGTGAAGAAATCTGAATGGACCGATGGCACCAGTGGTGTGTGAAAAGCAAAATGGATTTGTCCTAATAGTGCAGCATTTCAACCCTAAACCCACCTTGATTTTAAAATGGCATTGTGATGGCTGGAATATACGAGGAGCCATCCGTCTGGACACACACACGTGCCCTTGCTGAGGCGAACCCATTGTATGGATCATTGGCTGCTGATGTGTAAACCATCTGGCTGATTTCTGAAGGGTAATTTGGTGCCTGCTATTTGCAGAATTGGGAGGGAGGTCCCTTTTAAATGGACAGTAAATCTTCCCAGTCAGAATAGTCAGCAAGCAGTGTTGTGTGGCCTGGCTTTACTCCCCCAGGATCTGTTTTGGACCACTGCAGAAGAGGTCTGCACATTTCTGGGGTCTATAAAAAACAGGACGCCTCCCCCATGTGACCCATGGGCTGTATGAGATCTTACACTGTCCTACAAGATTGCCCCAAAATGCAACTACTCACATGTTCATGCCGAGCTCGTACTGAACAGTTGGCAGCTGGCACTGGGCTCAAGACATGGCATCTGGTCTCCAGTAACTCCATCTCTAGGAAGTAAATCTCTCCATGTGGCCTCTGGAAAGAGCGGAGAAGAAAAAGAGAGAGAATCATTAGAACACTAGAATCATGACAACATTAGAATCACAGAAGAAAAAGAGAGAGAATCATTAGAACATTAGAATCACTCTAGCCACCTAGAGTGGACGAGTAGTCCAGGTAGGTGGGGTATAAATCAATCAAACAAACAAACAAACAAATTCCCTCCCTCCACACTTGCTGATTTTCCTTGCACAATGACATTTTGTCTTAGCCAAAGCTTTGAAGTAGCTTTGTACTTTGTTATTACCCAATAACTAAATGCGAATTACTTGTAATGCATTTTTTTAGAAGGGACACCTGAAACAAGGGAAAATATCCACTCTTGAGATGTAACTATTGTCAGTTTTTCTCAGTCACAGTTACAGGGAGACAAATCTCAAAACACTGTACAAATGTGTTTTGAGATTTGTCTCCCTATCTGGAGACCCAGGGGAGCAGTGTTGACAACCCTACCTGCAAAAGACAGAGCTATTTAGAGGTTTGGTGTGGAGGGATAGATGGAAAAATTCTTACCCCTGTGTCTGCTTTTTGAGGTGGCTGCCTCACTCTGTCTAACGAGAGAGCCAGGCCTCTGATTAAAAGGGATCTCAGACAGATGTGTCAAGGTTGGATTGCAATAAGTGACTAAATAGACATTACAAGACCAAAGCCTAAAATTTGAAAATTTCCCCCCTTTTTTTGGATTGCAACAAGTTCTGGAGTGCAACAAGAATCCCTTAGAGATCCTGAAAGCAGTGCTGCCAAGAATAAGCAACTCACCAAATATTGAGGTATCTCAATTATCCTGAGATGGGGTCCTACGCATCACTTACCCGGGGTATCATCTTGGCCTTTTCAATTCTGTTCAAGACATATTTATATCCATGGACCGTATGTGTGTTGATGTGGTTCACTGCAATCTCTGCTGCATGTTCGACCTCGGGGAGATCGCATGGAAGAAGCTGTGGTCGAAGGGGAATAAATGGCGGCGAAACGGCCGTGCATCCTAAAATCTGACCCAGGAGTACCAGAGCTATCAGCGACCTCATGGCTGAGCGTGCAGAAGATTCAGAAGACCCGCTCTGCTGAAGGGATGGAAGGAAGGAACAAAAGAAAGCTGGAAGGAGCTCAAGCCGGGATCTCATTTATAGACAATCCAAGAACCCACCGCCCTTTTGCATACATGACAGCTTGCAATCTTTGTCCCGGGTCTTGAAAGGGACTGCAAACAAGCGAAAAAGAAAAGTAAACACACAGGGGACCTTGAGTCAAAGTTTTATTAGATAAGAGAGAAATTGCTAAATAGGCTAAAACATAGATGGCAAGAAGAGCGGAAGGCACAAATCCTTGCTCTTTAGTCCTAGTTCTGCCTGAACTGAGCACAGAGTTCTACTGCTCGATGCTACACTAAAAAGGAAATAGGGGAAATGATGACCAGCTGGGATCAAGCTGATTCTGATGGATGGAACACCTTCAGCCATTCTCAACTTCTTCGTCTTCTTCTTTTAACCATAAATGCAACATAAAAGAAATATAGGCCGAATCAAGATTGAATAAGTCTCATAATGAACCTTATAAGGTGGTGGGTGAAGAATTGTTTCCAGTTCGTGGCCCCCTTCAAATGGGCCAGGGGTCCTCAGGGAACCATGTGGCCTTCAATGAGAATGGCTGGATACATGGCCGGTGCCAGGCTTTTCTGCGCCCTAGGCAAGACTAATTACTCAGGTCAGTTCTGTGACCCTCTGAGGTCAGTTTTGTGCTCCTCTCAGGTCTGCGCTCTAGGCGGTCACCTAGTGGTTGCTCCAGCCCTGGCTTGTGGCCTTCAATGAGAATGGCTGGATACAGGGCTGGTGCCAGGCTTTTCTGCGCCCTAGGGAAGACTAATTACTCGCGCCCTTCTCAGGTCAGTTCTGTGACCCTCTGAGGTCAGTTTTGTGCTCCTCTCAGGTCTGCGCTCTAGGCGGTCACCTAGTGGTTGCTCCAGCCCTGGCTGGATAGACCACTCAGAAGTGACCTACTGCTACATTCAGAGGACACTCTTTGGCCATGTCACTTGGCCAAGAGCACACCAAGGCTAGTTCTTCTGCGCAGGGGAGTGGGGAATCGAACTTCCAACCTCTACCTAACTTAGGGTATGATCAGATGGTGAGAAAGGATTGCGTCTGATCACACCAGAAAGGTCAGCTTTGCTTAGACTAGCCCCGTTAAAGCAGCAACCCTTCCCTAGCACACCAAGGCTAGTTCTTCTGCGCAGGGGAGTGGGGAATCGAACTTCCAACCTCTACCTAACTTAGGGTATGATCAGATGGTGAGAAAGGATTGCGTCTGATCACACCAGAAAGGTCAGCTTTGCTGAGACTAGCCCTGTTAAAGCAGCAACCCTTCCCTCTGCTTGGGAATTTACTTATTTATTTAATTTATTTTATTTATACCCCGCCTATCTGGCCCACCGGACCGATTCCAAGATGGAATTGCTCCATCTCGGTCCCCTGAACTCATCGTTCTGTGGTTGGACCAAAAGGATCCAGCTTCAGCATCATTGGGGTGGAGCTGGATTGATATTGCCTGTACAACAGACGATGGCTAGAAAACCCGCTCGCACCGGACAAGCTCACAAGCAGTCTCAAATGTGAGCAGTTTTTGTGTGCGATCACGCCCTTGTTGAGCTAACCATACACAACAGTGCCCTAAGCCCTGTCCTATAAAGCTGCAAATTCCAGAAGACTTCTGCCATGAAAAATGCAGGGGTGTGTATGTGAAGGTTAAGCAAGCCGGCAGTTATGTAGAAGTGCTCCGTGCAAATTGTAATAATTGGAAGGAATATGAAAGAATGGAAGGTTATCATCAACTGAAGAGAAACTGCTAGATTGAGACGGCTCAGTGTGGAAAAAGGGAGCGGTGCGTGACCAGTCGTGTTTACTTGTGCTTTTAATATTGTTCTTATTATGAGTTTTAATAGTATACTTGTTTAATACTTTTTT